TTTCACGTATCATAGAGTAAGCACCCAAGATGCTACACAATATCATTCATAAGATATTATTAATATTGTTGCACCATTGATTATTATACCCCGTGCACTTAGCATAGTGTTAAGTACTCGTGCTACATAAGACTATTCACCAGACATATACCAAAGGAGTAAGAGTAACGTTATTTATCATTATAAGTGTTTATCATTAGGATACTCTCATTAACGTGATATTTCTAACAAAATATGTCTTGTATTCCTGCATTATCATTGAAACTCTCATACAATATATGTCATTTTGTTACCACTTAGATTGATTACGGAATAATATTGTCCATCAACGAGTGAAGTCCACTTTCACGTATTTTTCTTTTCTTTCCTTTCCTTTTTCTTTTCTTTTTTACTTGGTATTTTGGAGATCAATCAAGAGCATAAAGGGAGATTACTTGTACGCGATCCGTGTACTTGCGGTATATTTTTAAGCGAACATTGAGCAGATAATGTACTCTTGCCAACATCACCTTTGCTAGATAAGACCAACATTTTGTGTTTCACCTTCGCCATTCTTTATACAATTGCCATCAAGTCTACAAAGAAACAATTGTATAACATAAAAGATTATAGTCTAAACAAATGATAAATAATCAGAATGGAGGAACATCAAAGTATGTTCTTAAACAAGCAAAGGTAAGCAAGTAAAACCACAAGAATTTCCAATCATTGCCATCATTGTTACTTCGAATTTCAACCATTTCAATTCAACAATACCCCAAGTTTAACCTTTTCAATTCTTCCGGTATTCAAAGAGGACAGTGGAGGTAGATAACATCGGAGGGCGAGGATGGATGAGGACAATAGAGGCAGACAACACCGAATGGCGGAGGCACACATCGCCCCTGGAGTTGAGGAGATTAATAGAGGCAGAGGTGAGAGTTTGAGAGAGACGGACGACGGTACAAGTGAAATTCAGTGACCTGAGGTTTTTAAGTTTTTGGATTGGGCTGGGTAGGTCTTGGGCCAGAAGCAACAAGAAAAACAGGAGTAAAAAAAAAAAAAATGAGTCCAGAAGTTCAGGGTGGACCTGTGCCCACCCTGGACTGTATGGGGCTTCGCCCCTGCCTATATGAACCCCCACCCTCAAATCTTCCCTCATGTCTTGATCAAGCCATATTTACCTATCCACCAGAGGTCGTGAGGTGGGATGGGCATGAATGGAGGCAACGATTAGGGGTTGAGGGAGGGTGGAAAGGTGGCAATGAAAGATGCATGTTGGGTAATGTATTTCTCGTTAAAAATATTAGCCCATGTTAGACACCACCTTGTTCTATAATTTTTTTTCTTTTTTTCTCAAATTCATTTGCAATTATATATTTTTCTAATAAATTAATTTTACACATTTTCCCTCAAGTCTTGATCAAGCCATATTTACCTATCCACCAGAGGTCGTGAGGTGGAATGGGCATGAATGGAGGCAAGGATTAGGAGTTGAGAGAGGGTGGAAAGGTGGCGACGAAAGATGCATGTTGGGTAATGTATTTCTCGTTAAAAATGTTAGCGCATGTTTGACACCCTGTTCTATAATTTTTTTCTTTTTTTCTTAAATTCATTTGCAACTATGCATTTTTCTAATAAATTAATTTTACACGTAAATAGATTTTTTTCTAATTTTTTAACTACACATTCTAGTAAAAATCACTATTACAAAACTTATTCATTCAAAAAATGAGGTTCAGACACATCCTTAATTTTACAGGAGCTTGTATGAAGCAATTTTTTAGTATAGAAATATTGGGATATGTAATACATACATAATTTTAACTTTTAAATTGGATGGTGACCATTAAAAAATATAGAGATTTTCTTAGGGTCATTAACTTTTGCTTATTTTGCACTTACATCCCAACTTCGTTTTGTTTCATTTTAATTTCAACCTTATTTTAATTAGAAATATTTTTCACGATGATGGTTAAAAAACCCGTTAGAATGAAATAAAGACTTATTTTCTCTTCATAAATAAAGACTTATTTACTCTTCAAATTTTTAAATAAGCAAGGTAAATAACAAATGTATAAGTTCGAAAAAAAATATTTTCCTCAAGCTAATATAATATTTGTACAAAAAACAATATTAAGTGAAAAAAGTGTTAATTAATTGAAGGTTAAAGATAAAAAATTTATTAAAAAATTGGAGATATCAGTGCAAAATAAGCAAAATTTGAGGACCTTCACAGCGATAAAAATATGGTATAGTTAGCAAAAAAATAAGATTTGAAAAATTTCCTAACGACTCTTTTGACCCAATACTTTGTCATGAAAAATCCTGTATAGATCGATTACTTTAATTGGTTTATTTGATATTTGACGCGTTAGATTAAATGAATCTGAACCGAAAAAAGTTATACCTAAATAGTTTGTTTTAAGTATTTAGTATGAGTGTTGGCATGTGACTTAATTAATTTGTTTGGTAAGTCAAATTCTGCAATATTATACAGTACTAAAAAAGAAAAATGAAGTATTTCGTCATCAAATACTACATATGGGCCCATTACTTTAATTGGTTCATTCGATACTTGATGTGTTAGGTTAAATAAGATTGAACTGAAAAAAGTCGTACTTAAATAGTTTGTTCAAGTGTTTAGTATGGACAGTATTGATTAATGTACTTAATTACTTTGTTTGATAAGTCGAATTCTACAATGTTGACCTGTACTACAAATGAAAATGAACTATTCCATCCTCAAATAATGCATCTGGACCCATTACTTTAATCGGTACATTCGATATTTGATGCGTTAGATTAAGTGGGTATTTGGTGGAGATTAAAATTAGATTTTTAGTAGATTGTGATAGAAATTTTTGAAATGTGTGGTTGAAAAGTTGTGTGACACATAAAATATGTGGTTAATATTGATTGTTTGACTTTGATTTAGATTAAAATCTGATTTTAATCCGAAACAAATATGACCAATAAGATTGAACTGAAAAAAGTCGTACTTAAATAGTTTGTTCAAGTGTTGTTTAGTTTGAACTAACAATAACGTGTGTACTTAATTTATTTATTTGATAAAAATAATATCATGTACCAAACATTCCAATGTACCAAAAATTCTTTAAATGGTCACCTTGCACATTGTACCACAATGACAATGACAATCCTAAATGCTCCATTTCCTTGAACTGCACTAAGGTTATTAATGTAATATGCTTGCTGGATAAATTATTCCCCCCAAATTCATATACCACAGATTAATCATAATCTCAATATATTTAATGTGGACTATGATTTTTCTACTTTACCAAATTTTATTATTCAAATTTGTGTTTTTAATATGAAAATCCAACTTTTTTTTTTTCAATTGTTTTGGTATGGTAAAAGAATCCCTTACAAAAAAAAAAAAAAAAAAAAAAAAAAATACCATTTTTATAACTGAAATTTATTTTCCCATATATCAAGCTATTCATTTAATTATGGCTTCCATACATTTTCTGGAAATGAAATGCACGTGCAACAGGTTTCATTTTGATGCAGTTCTGTGTCCACACGGGTTAGCTGTAATCGGGGAGAAAGGAGATCAATCATATATATATTGTTCCATACACCACACTAAAGAGTCGTATATTATGCTGGGTGCATAGTTCCACTTACGAGAGTGTTAAAGAACAAATGACTATAAAACAATCTTTAATTTTTATGTCGTCATTCCAATATATCGAACAGTAATATGCGTCGTAGCGTGTCAGGGAGAATATTACATTTTTTAGTAAGATATTTTTATCAAATCCGAATCATGGTCCGTGTGATTTTGGGATGTGTGCTATTTGTAATCAAATATGTTCATCACCAAACTATGAGATTTTTATCGAATTTTCAATGTATATATCCGTGTTATTCAATTGACATTTAATATTTGTGTAGTCATCTGCACATTTTCTGGTGTTCATGTGGTGCATGACAATGATATGTATCTAAACATTTTCGTTCGCTCAAATTGTCTCATATCCATCCTCTACGATTTACAGCAACTGCCCTCTATCTGTCTTCCACTATTCACACGTGGGTTAAGGGTAATTTGGATTCCTACAATTGTTGACTTTAATATTTCCCTACTACAATAAATCATTTTTTAATCAATTTATATGNATCAACGAGTGAAGTCCACTTTCACGTATCATAGAGTAAGCACCCAAGATGCTACACAATATCATTCATAAGATATTATTAATATTGTTGCACCATTGATTATTATACCCCGTGCACTTAGCATAGTGTTAAGTACTCGTGCTACATAAGACTATTCACCAGACATATACCAAAGGAGTAAGAGTAACGTTATTTATCATTATAAGTGTTTATCATTAGGATACTCTCATTAACGTGATATTTCTAACAAAATATGTCTTGTATTCCTGCATTATCATTGAAACTCTCATACAATATATGTCATTTTGTTACCACTTAGATTGATTACGGAATAATATTGTCCATCACCACTGATGATCAATATATTTCTGGTAGACAGTAAAAATCAAACTCAACAATTTGTGATGTTCCTAGAAATTATTCTATATTAAAGGAGGAGCCACAATAACTCTATAAATTGGATGCCATCATTGGTAACAAAATTGAATCGAGCAATGCTACGTTACCAGAATTTTTTTTTTTTTTTTTTACAGAAACGCTACAGATACTCACATTGGGGGTGGGCCCCATTTTTTGGACATTATTTAATTCACATGGGACCCACACTTCATGTGAGAGTCTGGTAATGTTTTGATAATTTTTTTTCTGTACATTCAGAATTTTCCAATTGAATCACATACACATCTTCAATATTATATTAGTAATTAAAATATTTTTATTTTGACTTGTGCGTCACATAGTTGCCCTTTAACGACCTCTGATTTTGTAGGTACCCCATCCACTAGGGGAGGAACATGGCAATCTAGTCAACACATTTCATATTTTTTGGATTAAAAAATTATACAAGTAGCAAGATATTAGGAACCGGAAGTATGGGTACTAGGTAATACTAATAACCCACAGCCCACATGTCCGCACTACACTCCAAATTTCACTACACTCAAGGGCATTCTTGGTAATTCAAACTTCAATTGGGACCCACTTGGACGGTTGCCCGTCTATATATATTTTGTACCGCAATTCTTACAAGTCGTCCACCATCTCCCCTCCATTTGTTCTTGTCTCATTATCCAGTTGCCGAATTCTCTCTCTATCATACACACCCACTGACACAGTGTCCGCAAGAGATCAAGCCACTTTCAGTAAAACCGTTAAGCATTACTCGCTTTATATTCCATCAACTCCTGCAAAGAAATATATAAACAGGTATGTATGAATTTATGTGATTTTTTTTGTGAGTTATGTGAGTTTTTGTTTATGGGATTGTGAGATTCTTGCTGTTAATCTTCTTACCGTACATGGGTTGGACGATGAATCTTTTCTTGTTTATCCCTTTTTTACTCGGCAGTCCTTTTTTAGTATTTTTTATTCTTGTAAAGCCTTATGTTGAATTTCTTTTCGGAGAGCTCCTTTATGCTGACCTTTCTCACAACTTTTGGAGTTTGTTTGGTTCTTGCGTTTTCTTATGATAATTTGATGATTGTTGGGATTTTTTAAAGAAATTCAAGTGAAATTATGTTACTTTCAAGTTTATGTTTCAGTTCAATCTTGACCCTCTATTGCAGTACAAACGGAGAAGGGTCGTTGTTTTTATTTCATTTAGTTCTTTATCTGTTAGCATATACTATGATATATTTCATTTGGTTCTTGTTTTTTCTTCTGCTTTGTTTGGTTTGACCAGGGACTCGTTGAACTTTCTCCTATTGTAGTACTTTGACCTTATTTCAAGAAATTAATTATGCTTTAGTTTTCACAAAGAACTATCTGAACGTCAATATGTAATCTTTTTTACTCCCTTTGTTGTAATTTGCTGCCTTTTTCTATGTAAAGTCATAAATTTGGGGAATTGATTTGTGATTGATTGCAGTTTCTTGAAGATGCTGGAGAAGATGGAGGATAGATTGGATCCAGATTTAGTTATAGAGGAATTCGAAGCGCTTTCAAGGGATGCCGAAAGAGTTCAAATAGAGACCCTTAAGAAAATCTTGGAAGAAAATGGTGAAACAGAGTACTTGATGAAATGGGGTCTTAATGGAAAAACAGACCCATTAAGCTTTAAGTCTTGTGTTCCTCTTGTCACTCATGCGGACTTGGAACCTTACATTCAACGGATCTCCCATGGCGAAATTTCCCCTATTCTCACTGGAAAACCGATAACTACTATCTCTTTAAGGTACAGTGTTATCATGATAAATTGTTTAATTTGTCTTTTAACAGCTCGAATTTATAATAAATATGAATTCTATGGTTCTTGCAGTTCTGGTACCAGCCAAGGGAAGCCTAAGTTCGTGCCATTCAATGATGAATTGCTGGAAAACACCATGCAAATATACAAAACTTCCTTTTCCTTTAGGAACAGGTAATCTAATGCTGTACAACACTCTTTTCTTTCTTTTTTTTTGTTGACCTAGACCTTATGTTGTTGGCATTGGAAAAAATTTCTTTCCCTTTCTCCTATCTTTGCCTTTTCTTCTTTGGTTTTTCGAATTTCCAATTGTAAGTAGGATTCACAATATCTTTCTTGTACGCGGGTTTATGTGAGAGTATTAATTTTTGCAGAGAATATCCAATTGGGAATGGGAAGGCTCTACAGTTCATTTACGGAAGCAGGCAATTCAAGACAAAGGGTGGTTTGGCAGCTGGAACTGCGACTACGAATGTGTACAGTGACAAAAAGTTCAAGACAACGATGAGGGCAATGCAGACCTCCTGTTGCAGCCCGGATGAAGTGATTTTTAGCACCAATTGTGAAGAATCGTTATACTGTCATCTTTTGTGTGGACTAATTTTCCGGGATCAAGTTCAAGTTGTGTCATCTACATTTGCCCATGGCATTGTCCATGCCTTTCGAACATTTGAAGGAAAGTGGGAAGACCTTGTTAATGACATTAATACAGGGGAACTATGTAGCTGGATAAAGACTCCGTCACTTCGAACAGCAATGTCAAAACTGCTCAATCCCGACCCTCGATTGGCCAATCTGATTTATAACAAGTGTTTGGGGTTAAGTAATTGGTATGGAGTGATCCAAGAGCTATTTCCAAACACCAAGTACATATACGGGATCATGACAGGGTCCATGGAACATTATCTGAAGAAACTGAGGCACTATGCAGGAGATCTACCTTTATTAAGTGCAGATTACGGGGCTTCTGAAGGTTGGATTGGAGCAAACGTCGACCCCAAATTACCCCCAGAATTGGCCACATTTGCCGTTCTTCCAAATATTGGCTACTTTGAATTCATCCCTTTGAAAGAGGATTTGAATGTTGAGCCTCAGCCGATAGGGCTAACTGAAGTCAAGATCGGTGAAGAATATGAAATCATTGTAACCAATTTCGCAGGTATACATTCTTCTCTCTCTTTTTTCTTTGTGTGTGCACGCTGCACATGATGTGAACTTATGTACAAGAACTAAAATGCTGCATCCTTTCCTAGGTATCAACCTTATCACTTTTTCTTATGAGCTTCAATAATTTATTGATGAAAATCCTAGGCTTTCTATAGGCTTAACATGTGGTCGTGGGATAATGGGAAGGCCTATAGCAATCTTTTTGTAGGTCTATTCCTTTCCTCATACGATCTCTTCTTTTCAGTATTAGGTCGCTTCTCTGTTTATATATTCAATAGGTCACATGACTATACCAGCCGGTTTAAATGTGCTTTAGCTTTTTATTCCTGCAATCCATGTATATATGTGCAGAACTCGTGGCGCAAACTGCTAAATTCGTTGATGAATTCGTTCTATCTATTACTTCTTATTATTTTAAACTGTCCATGACATGCGATTCTTTTATAATACAAGACATAGCACGAGCAGATTCAGCATCATTTTTAGGAAACAGTATCATTTTATTCAAACTCCACACGTATAAATGTACAAGCTTCCCCATCCGTCGACTATTACAGATAAGATTGATTGCATTTTCGCATTTATGTTTTGATGTGCATGTCTTTCTTTTATAGGATAAACAGTGTATCTTGCTGTTCTCCATAATAATTGACACAAATTTTGCTCTTCATGTCTGCTATTGACTTTAAAATATTTGCACATGTATATCAACTCATTGGATAATCAATGTAAATGTATCTGCATATAGATCTGTCATATATATTTAGTATGAATTGAATGGTCAAAGTTTCTTGGTGTACTCACCTATGTATATATTTTATATTCTCAAGATGGATTAATTTATGGCATTGACAACTAAGATATAAATATTTTTATTGTATATGAAAGGGAGAGGTTAGGTGAGCATCAGACTAATTTATTGTTATGAATTCAAATGGTTGCACTTGAAATGTCTTCACATATCCTTAAAAGAAAACACTTTTACATTAGAAAATCAAAAAGTTTGTTACCTAGAATTTCTCTCCTTTGAAGTTGTCTTGTTCCATTAAAGTTTTTGTGTGCAAGAAAAAAGATCTCATTTTCTCTTTTAAATGCATCCCAATAATTCAAGATGTGGGCTCGTCTTATTTTTGCCCGAAAGAAAAAGGAATCCTGATACTTTCCTATTGTTCGGATTTATAAAAAAGTCTCCGATTTTCGGGGACCACAAGAACGTTTAGGACCCTTCTGAATAAGGAGGTCGAGTCCTATAGAGTTCAGTACTCTTCTAGTCTAGTAAGTCTTCTGGTGACCTTGAAATCTCACTCGGAAATTTTACATATGCAGGGTTGTACCGTTATAGGCTAGGAGATGTGGTCAAGGTCAAAAGGTTCCACAACTCGACTCCGGAACTCCAATTCATTTGCCGGAGGAATCTTCTACTAACGGTCAACATCGACAAGAATACAGAGAAAGATTTGCAGCTGGCTGTAGAAGCAGCTGCCAATCTGCTAGAAGGGGAAAAACTCGAAGTAGTCGATTTTACTAGCGGCATCGACTCATCGACTGAACCTGCACATTATGTTATATACTGGGAAATAAGCGGTGAAGCAAGCGACGAACTTCTCAAGGAATGCTGCAATTGTTTGGACAAATCATTTGTTGATGCAGGGTATGCTAGTTCAAGGAAAGTAAAAACCATTGGAGCCCTTGAACTAAGAATTCTGAAGAAGGGTACTTTTCATAAGATTTTGGATCATTTTGTGGAACTAGGTGCTGCTGTTAGCCAATTCAAAACTCCTCGTTGTGTGGGGACAAAAAACCAGACACTGTTGCATATTCTGCGCAATAATGTTGTCAAGAACTACTTCAGTTCTGCTTTTTAGTATTTGTGAGTTTGTGGAAGTTGATGTCAATTGTCTCGTAATAATTCAGCTGTCCGAGGTTTGATAGTAGTACAAGTCTCTACTTCTAATACAGAATCATAGTTCTAGTTTTCTATCTTCTTATGTTTTAATTTTTTCCTTTTGTTGTATTGTGATATCAATAGAATAATCTTAGTGGCAATAGCCAAGATTTTCACGTAAGGTTGGGGAGAAAAAATGTTGAAAGAGCTAACGAACTAATTCTTTCGATTAATCTTAGTCGATCTTGAAACTGACAAACGAGACGTAAATAGTAGTAAAATTGATGAGAAAGTGGCTGCAGAGAGAACAATACAAGAGAGTATAATATCTTAAACAACGTAAAAGAAGGAGAATAGGTTTGATACACTTAAGGGTTCGGGTTCCTGAATTTAGACTTAGGATACGAGATTATGCAGCGGATGCATTTGATTATATATTGAAGACATCGATGAGGCTGCCAAATAGGTTATGGGGAAACATTGACATGCTTTGAGGAGGAAAGTGAGTACGAGAGTTATCACGAAGAGACAAAATTCCGAACACAAAATATAACTAGGTCTTACGGGAAGTATGTTTCCTATTACATTTTAGCTCCCAAATCTAAAATCTCGTTAAGTTTACAACATATTTTAATTGACTGGAAGTTAGATTGTTTATCCCTTTCTAAGTTCGTATTCTTATTTTCAGTTTCAGTATGAATAAATACGACGTCGGTGAGAAACTATAAACAATAATATAATTTATATCGTAAATTTTAAAATTGTTTTTCACACATTCAATTATGCTCTAAATGTCATTGTTCTAAACGTTTGACTTCAGATAGCCCATAGAAGCTGTTTTTAACGTAGTTTTGAAGCTGCCTTATTTGTCTACATTCACTAGGTTTTGAAGCTGCCTTATTTGTCTTCATTCACTAGGTTTCGGCTTTAATCTTTTAGGTCCTGCATTTTGGTTTACATTTTGAATGATTGATTCTCAGAAGTAGCATCAAACTCTACTTTTAGAGCACGAAAAATGAAGAAAAAGATCAACATATAAATTTTAGTGTCATAAAGGGGTACATGAAGATGTTGATGCCATAACAAACGATATTGATAATCTCGAAGTTGGAAGAAGATTTAATTATTAATATAATCCCTTAAATTATATAATTAAAAGCTTCAGTCTTGCTACAGGCACAGTCTAGTTGACATTGTATGAGGTGGTCAATATATTTGCCATTAATTTTCAGAAAAGAAAAAAAATCCCATTTTTTTCTTTCATGAGATGGATAGAAAAACTGATGTAAGTTAAGATTTGAATCTTTATACTTTTCATCTAATTGCAAAAATCAAAATCAAAAAAATCAAGAGGGAATCGTATCATCAGATAAACCGAACAATTGTCACTGTTATAGATATTCTATAATACTTAATTTAACTACTTTTAGTTTAAAAAATTTACTCAATACTAAAAATAATTAATAACATAGATTTTGACAACATATACAATGCCAACAAAGATGTCATCAAACAATGGACAAATAACATAATTCTAAAAACTTTCAATTATTGATGTAAATGATTAATAATTTAATGTGTCAATATAGCCCATGTTTGACAACCATTATTAAGGAAAATAATGTTTTAAATAGTGATTTTTTACGAGAATTTGTGTTTAAAAAGTATGAAAAAGTTTTGAATTTTCGTGCAGAAGATTTTATTGTGTGAATGTTTGTAGAAAACGAGTATGTAGAATAAAGAGTTTTCAAATAATAGTTGTCAAATAGGGGCTTAGTTAGACTGTATTATGGTGATGCAGCTTGTTCTAATACGCCCCCGTTTGACAATCAATATTTGGAAAAAATAGATTTTTAAATAGTGATTTTTAAAAGAACGCTTGGTTAAAAAGTAGTGGTTAGAAAGTAAGAAAAAAATTTAATTTACATGTCTATGTGATTGAAAATGAATATATACAAAAATTAATAATAATAATTGTCAGACGGAGGCTTAAAATTAGAATATCATTGTGTTTTGCACATTGTATGAAATTCTACAATCAATAAGATAATTATACTATTTTCTTAATATTTTTTAACCTAATACCAATTTATTTTTGCAATAACTTTAATTTAATGTAAATTCATAATGAAGAAACTTTAAACAAAAATATGAATGTGAAAAACATATTTAAAAAATCAGCAAGTCAACGCAACTCAACATACGTGATTTTTGTCAGCATGACTTGCCTTGCCTTGCCTTGCCATTACATCCAGTCAGTTGCTCTTACTAACTTGGGTTTCGAGAAATTTGTTTAAATTAAAGAGCCCAAACCTACTTCGTTCATTATGCAGGTTGGCTCAGGCTGAGGATTAAAATTTGTTTAATTACTGAACCATTGACTTGCCACACTGAAGGCAGTCCGATTTGGTTCGAGCCTAACTTTTTCTGGCTTGTATAGAATTTATTAATATGGTTTGAAGATTAAGATACAATGAATATTCTCATTGATGCATACACCGTTTGTGAAGTAGACAAATAACTTAAGACAATACTACATGTACATCCACTTTTTTACTTAAGAGCCTGTTTGGTAACTGTTAAAATTCAATTAAAATTGAAAATATAGTCGTTATTGGGTCTCACTCGTCTAATAAAAGTCAACAATAATTGTTAGTTTTTTAATTTTAATTCGATTTTAATCTCTACCAAACATGCCCTTAATCTTTTACCTATACTCACAATAGGGTGAGGGGGACCATACATTTGAGAATTTTTTTACTTATGCAGGTCCCGTGCGCATGTGAGAGGGTGTAACATTTTCGATACAAAAAATTCGGTACAAATGGAATTGTCCAATAACTTATAAGTAGAATAATATATAGATGTCACAATGAAGTTGCAACGTACTTAGCTATAATTTAAGTACAACTATCATTTAAGTACAATGGAACAGCACTAACTCCTACCCAACTCAAGTATAGTAATTTTCTTTTAGAACCATAATTCTCAAAATAGTGAATTACCATACTTCACCATAACGAGTATAGCACTTAAAATTAATAGATTTAAGAATTTCAAATCAGCTCATGAACAAATTTGTTGAAAAAATTATAGTTCAACTCTCATGTTAGGCTTTCCAGAAAGTTCAATAGTCATGTCATTGACATAAACGCGCTCCAAATTTGCTTCTTACCTCGCGGTTAGAAGTTCTAGAATGAAGTTCGTAAGCCCAAAAATTTAAAGATCTAAATCTATCATTTTTCTATTAAATTAGTAGTATAACAGTCACAATGCAAACGTTTAACAAACTATGCTAACGGCTAACCGTGGATATCTTTACCTTATTCTCTTGATCAGTTTATGGATGGGAAAAGAGAAGACTTTAAGGATTTAACCTGTATGACAATGACGCATAGAGCTATGAATGTCAAGCCAGCCCTAGTTTATGGATGGGAAAAGAGAAGACTTTAAGGATTTAACCTCTATGACAATGACGCATAGAGCTATGAATGTCAAGCCAAACCATGTGTATGTGTAACCAAGAAATAGTTGTTGGCTTAATAAGAGGTCTATCTCATCCTGTTGACACATGCAATGTCAGTTCTGTTATAGTAAGTGAGTTGAAATTTGATATAGACACGAGGATGTATATATCTTAATAGATATCATCGTCTCCCATAAGAAAGACTCATCGTTAGCGAGCATAAACTCTTCATCCAAGGTGTTGGGTTGGAGATAAGATTTTCAATGATTATCCAATTAATTTTATATAAAATTTCTCCACGTTTCAAAGCAACAACTAGATTTTTTTTACACTTATAGGTCTAATCATGCTCATAATATGTTTAACTATAATCATACTCATATATTTAACTACAAAATTTTGCAACTAATGACGCAGGGCATCTATTTAAGAAAAATTCTATTTGTACATAATTTTTTACATAATATTTTACCGAATTGACAAGTGGTGGCACCCTATTGGGGGGATTCTTAGATACGTGTAGCATAACTCTCTATTTAATACATTAGAAAAATAGTAGATTCTCCCTAGAAATCACAAACCTCTGAGTTTGAATCTTTGTGAATCAAGGGCACTTAAGAAATATCTATTTCTTAATTTTCCAACTTAGAATATTAGACCCAAACTTAAATTATAAAATGTTAGAGAACCTCAGCAATTGTACGTACAGAACATGCCAATTGCCATGTCTTGTAACGCTGTTCAAGAAAGTGATTCATCTTTGAAGAAAAGAAGTCCAAGAAACTCCCCCATGAAGATTAATGAAGTCGAGGAAAAAGAAAGAACCCTAAAAGTGTGGGATTGTGGAAGCCCTTTATATGATTCATATGAACTGGTTTCTGTCAGCCATATAATTGAAAGACATTTCATGGTATTTCCTTATCTAAGTAAATCAAGAAATGTGGATGAATCAAGACCCATTTCTTCATCATCATCATCAGTTGATCAATCAAAACCCAACAAGGCTGCAGGTCCTAGCAAGGTTAGGAGATTTTCTGTGGTTAATTTCTTGAGTGATCTTGTAGAGGGAAATTTGTGGAAGAGAAAGCAGCTTGATGCTGAAAGAAAAGTGAATTCTAAGCCCAAGAAGCAAAAAAAAAGGGATTTCTCCGAGTAGCCAAAGTTCTCGTACAAGAAAGTTGAACTACATTGGTCTTAGTAAAAAGGCGCAGTCATAAAATTTCTACTAGGATTAATTAATGGAAGATAACATGTATTGGGTATATAGAAGAAATTCTTGTTCTCCCTTTAATTGACTTCAATGAAGCTATTTATATTTTCTGTATGAATTTTCTGCATAATCAGTTTTAATCTGTGGAAAGTTCATGTAAAAATTCATCAATGTTTTCTTCTTTTTTTGCCTCAAGCTTGTGTTCATGGGATTTGTTTTGCTCCATTATTGTAAATTCTTTATTGGAGTTGCACATGGAACATGTAATGTCCCTTTAGTATCCAGTTCGTATGGTTAATTAATCATGGAAAGACAACAGTCTCTTAGATGTCTTTTTGTTAAGAATACTAAATAGGTCAACTTATTAAATTAATTTCAAGCGAGAAAGATAGAGATTTTAATTTCAATTACGTGGTTTTGATCTATGGATGGGTCAAGTTGAACCGACTTGCCTACAATTAGGTCCAATTCAGAGCTATTGTGGGTTTGAATTGGTGTCACTACACCAAAAACAACATTTTGCAACGACCAAAAAACGTTGCAAGAAACCTTTCGCTATATTTGTGCTCATGTTATGGGTTTTGATGTTGTCGCAGAGCATAACAATATGATAACGTTTAAAGACTGTTGCAAAAGACGTCCAATGAACGTTGTCTTTTATTTTTATAGCATTCATTGAATGTTGTCTTTAATCTATTTGCAAAAGATTATGTATTAAGAGTTTCAACAACGGACACTGAATATTGGTATGGAAATAGATTTTAACAACGTTTAATAAACATTGCAAAAAATTAAAATTTTCACAACGGTAAATGAACGTTGCAAAAGGCAGTATTGACAACATTCATTTAAAAAATGTTGTCGAATCTCAATTATTTAGATCTCTTTAGCAACATTCACTTATTAGAATGTTGCGATAGACCCCCTTACCAATACTCAATTAACGAATGTTGTCTTTTACATGCTTAAAATGTCATTTTTGTTGTAGTGTGGGTGTGTCAGCCTTTGGGGAAGTGTATGTTGATGAAAATTGTAGCTCAAGCTATCCTTGGTGGATAGGGTCTAGTCTAGTCTATGTTATTTTAAATTATTTATTCCAGTTTGATGTTACTATCAAATGCAAAGAAAAATGAATGCATTTCCAGACTCACTAGCACGTGACGGGTGTACTTTTATCATTCAAATGTTGGAGATAAGATTATGAAATATTAATTGTATTAATTTCAAATTCTGAATTTTCTTAATTTAAAAAAACTTTAAACCAAACTCATATTATAAAATGCAAGAACATCTCAGCAGTTAGCCACATAGAACATGGCTGTCAAGTGTCAATGGTGATGCTGTTCAAGAAACTAGTTCATATTCGAACCAAAAAACTCCCATGAAGACTAATGAAATTGAAGAATTGAACAAAAAAAAAAAAGACAGAAGAAGAAGAAGAGAGTGGTAAAACTATGGGACTGTGGGAGCACTTTATATGACTCACATGAACTGGTTTCTATTGTTAAGATTTGTGATTCCATCTTAAAATGTTAAGAGGAGTAATCCAATCTTTTATAAATTTGTTTATGTTTACATCTCTATTCGATGTGAGATTCTATCCTTTAACATGCTCCCACAAGATGGTGGCTCGTTTTGAGCAAATCAATCTTGAAATCTGTATGCTCACTTTTGGAGTTTTAATCCGATCGGATTGCTCGTTAGAGTTTAAGGGGCTCTGATATCATGTTAAGATTTGAGATTTCATCTTAAAAAGTTGACTTTATTAAGAGGAGTAACCAAATCTCTTATAAGTTGGTTTATTTTTACATCTCTATTCGATGTGAGATTCTATCCCTTAACATCTATTATCCATTTACTTGAAAGAAATTGCTTGGTACTGCCTTACCTAAGTGGATCAAGAAATACAAAAGCATCAAGTGTGATTTCGTTATCATCATCGGTTCGATTTGAATAGAAAAAGGCTGCAGGTTCCAGCAAGGTTAGAGGGTCTTCTTTTGTTAGGTTTTTGATGGATCTTTTGGAGGGAAACTTGTGGAAGAGGAAGAAGAAAGACGGGATTTTTCCGAGTCCAGGCAAAAGTTCTAGCACAGAAAAACCGAAGATCAATATAAAGAGGCCCCCCGGGGCACATCCAAGTTGGCAAAGGATGGACACTGCTGGGCTTGCAACCTCAGGATGGGGAGTTCGATTCCTGGATGGAGCAGCTGAGTGTTGTAATACTCAATTTGGGTGGAGCAGTTTGGTGATGTAATATCCATGGAGGAAGGTTCCCTTGGGGCCAGGAGTATAAAGGGTGCACATGCCCTGGTCAATTTGGGCATATCCCGCGATTAACCTCCACCCATCACTGAGGGGCCGGTGATGGGTGGTCCAGGACATAGTCTAGTGTAAGTTAGGATACCTGGATATCAAAAAAAACAAAAAAAAAACAAAAAAAATATATATATATATATATAAAGAGTTTTAGATGCGCGCTGTTCTAAAATTTGTACTAGGAATAGGTCAAGGAATAAATGTTACAGAGGTTGAAGTCAACATGTACTAAGTTCATTTCAAGAAGTCACTTTTATTTATATTTTTCTGGGTGAATTTTTCTTCTTAATGAATCAAAATTTCAAGAAAATATATAAAAAAAATCATCTGTTTTTCAGTTTTTTTTTCCTCTCAGATTTATGTTCTTCAAATGTATGTTCCTCGGATTTCTTAATTCAAGACTTGCACATGGATCATGTCATGTCCTTTTTTTTTTTTTTTTTTGACGTAGGAACTCGCAGCCGCTACCCGCCAGCGGAGTCCTGGGTGGCCTGATCACTGTGAATGCACACTAGGTAAATTCCGCTCCATGTGCAGTAACTCGCAAATCACACAGGAAAGGTAAACCGCACTAGGCAAGCTCGGTGCGACGGGCTCGACCGAGGAAGTGTTGGCAGGGGATTCGAACTCGTGACATTTGATCTCCGCGTTCACCTGCTCCACCAACTCGACCACCCTCGAAGGGATCATGTCATGTCCTTTGTATCTTAGTCATATGGGTTAATAAAGGAAAGACATGACAATATCCTAGAGGTTTATTTTAGTTTATTTCTCCAATTAATGGATTACACATGAGATGATCCTGAAATCGATTTACTGTTGTTGGTAATATCTACGTGAGAGCGATCTCCCTAATCATTGGATTATGCATGAGACGGCTTATCCATTTATTGTAGCCGATGAAACAGCTAAGGGAGAGATACTTTTCAATCAACTGGGTTCCAAGTAGAATGTGTACTATATATCGATTCATTACCCCGACGAAAATATCTTTCTTCAATTATCGCATTCCATGTGGGATCCCTAGATATTGATTTATTGATAGATCAAAGAGAGAGAAATCTTCTAATTCTCGATGAAAGATCTAAGTGAGTAACTTCTTCAATTATTGTATTTCACATGATATAACTAGATCTTGATTTCTCGTTCTCGGCCAAAAAAATATAAATTTCTCTGTTTGTTGTATTTCGTGTGGGTTGACTAATCTTGATTTGTCGTTGAAATTTATTTTATGAAATTTTTTTATTTGCGATTCAGTTTAATTTCTAGTTAATGTTATAGGGTAGAGTTTCTACATTGATTTAATGCCCTAAGAAAATGGTCATATTTTTTTCTTTATCTACATTTAATAAGTTTGATTTTGAAGTCTTGAATTGTGTGCTCTACCCTTCTTTTTGTTCAAGCCTCATCATATTTAATGATGAAGCGCGAAACAAAGAATTCAAACAAAAACCTTAAGTAATTATTGGAACTAACAAATTATGAAAAAAAATAAACTCATGAAATTTTATTGATGTAAGATGCCCAAAAAGAATAATTAACCTCTTTTCGAAAAGGTATAAATGGGCCCAAATTGAAACTCGAACGCAAAATCTGCAGCTTAATATTTTTACTGTTTTTCTATTTTTAATCCAGATGTTTCTCAATCCATTTTTACTACAGTTTAATATTTTTACCATTTTTCCATTTTTGGTCCAACTATTTCTCAATCCATTCAGTCACCCGTTCTACATCATTTAAAATCTTACGTCGTGTTTGTTATGAACCATGCTTTGCAACATAACTAGTCGTGCCCTTCAACTCTAATAAACAAGAATACGTACCTATGTAATTCATTGGGATCGACTTAAAGTTCGATGAGGTCATGGCCATAGGCCTACACTAGCACGTCCTACGTGTATGAATTCCTAAACTACCAATATGAGTTGTTCTTGATGCACGGTCCAATTCAATCTTTCGACTCAAAAGTCTACTTGGAAAAAATAATAGAAGCGTGTAAGAGGTAAAATAAACACTCCGAAAATTTAAAAAATCTCAATTCTATAAAATGACACCTTATAATATTTTAGAGGTGCACACATTTTGCTTTGCACAAATGGTCTTTACGAACTTAAATATCATCACACCATGGAAAGAGATTTTATCATTTTCCGCACGAACGACTTTGTATTTAAATGAATCTATCATTTAATATCATATAATTGTTACATAGATTGTGACTCAATCCCAATAGGGATGAATAGCATTACTCAAAATCCATTGACATTCTCAAAACTAACCATCATTCCATGTCTTAGACAACCCACTCACACTGCATTATTGCTAGTGTGCATCTAAGTGGAGGGTACTTTTATTTTCAAAATGTACACACAAAATGGAAACAATTTAATGGACTGAGATAAGCATGCACAAGTATAATGGCTATCTGTTTCAGAATTAATCATTATAAGTTTTTCTAATAGAAATTTTTTTTCCCTCTTTTGTATTGTCGACTTAATTGAGTGTTGCATTTTGCATAATTCGTGCGTTTGATTAGATTGGATTAGACATTACAATGAAAATTATATTTGTTATTTTTTTCTTTGATCAAGTCGAGTCATACTTATTACATGTTTGGCAGAACTTCTGAT